ACTTCCCTCCTTACCTGGCTTAAATTCAGTGTCAGTCTTTCTAATCACCCCCTTTTCATTGCATTTGCTTGGCTGAACTGCAACCATGATTAAACCCTACTGTCCACCCCTCTATGTGCACCCATACAGCAGAAAGTGAAAGAGGGAAAACACCCATTCGCACCTTAAATTCCTGGACACTCACCTCCAGTGGCCCTCTTTTACCACCCAGCAGCCATACCATACGTTCCTATTTCATTCACTCTCCCACAGTCCCTAAACAACTATTTCTTACCTTCTGCTCTCTCCTCCTCCCTGGCCCTCACTCACAGCTTTCTTTTTCCTCTAAGAAAATAGAAGTAATTACAAGAGAGCTTCCTCAAGCCCCAAACACATCTATCTACCCTCCCACCTGTATCTACGCCCATATATTCTGCCTTTCCTCTGATTACAGGTAAAAACTTGTCCAAAGCCTAGCAATGGGCAATCCCTCCACCTGTACAATAAATTCCAACACTTTGTGTGTACCTAAGAACATAAAACCAGCAATTCTCACTTCACCCCCAATTATTATTTTTGCCCTCTTTTGTGGATCTTCCTATCAAGTAAACATGCAGTTACTTCTCCCATCTTTAAAAAATATGTCTTAACCCACTTTCCCCACCTGTCCATTATTACTCTCCTTCCCTTTAGAATAAAACTCCTTAAAATGAATATTGTTTATACTTACTGTCTCAAATGTCTCTCCTCCCACATTCTTTTTAAATCCAAGAAAGAATTTATCCCACCACTCCAACAAAACTGCTCTAACCAAGATCACTAGTAATCTCATATTGTTAAATTCAACCGTCAATTCTTGGTTGTCATCAGCTGCGTTTGACACAGATCCCTCTATCTTCCTGTAAACATCTGAAGACACCAATGTCTCCTGGTTTTTCCTTCTGCCCCTCATGCTCAAGCTCCCTTCCTGGCTTCTTCTCATCTCCCTAATGTCTAGACACTGTGGCGCCCGGGGCCCAGTACTTTTCTAGCTAAGAATTCCCTTGGCCTTCTCATGCATTCTCATCACTTTAAATACCATCTCTAGGCTGGCATCACTCAAATGCACACCTCCACTCCAGGCCTGGATCCTGAACCCCAGGCGCCTTTACCCTCCAGCCCGTTTGGTATTTCGTGGTGGATATTGTGCTGGGTCTCTTCCATCTGCTACTCCAGACTCGCCCCCCAACCTCTCCTCCCTGTTCTGCCCTGGGAGTTGACCTACATGGACGGCAGTAACAGGCTTCCCTTGCCTTCTGGCCTCCAGCAGGCTAAGCTTATGGGGAGCCCTGGCAAGAGAATGGAGGAGAAAAAGGGTTCAAGACCAGGGTATTTATTCCCCTCTCTCCCCCCCTGTGGAGTCGCCTTCACTTCACTGGCTAAATCTCTTGACCAAAGGTGATTCACCCTCAAGGTGAACTGCTCTCCACAAATCTCTCCTTCAGAGCTCCCCGGTACCTAGGGGTGGTAACATCTCTGCTGTTACCTGCCCTCCCCATACTGCACTATCTCTGTGCTTTCCCTACATCCTACCCACACCTTCGTAAATGATTCCTTTGCTAATACTTTCCTTCTCATTATATTGAGTGTGCCATCTATTTCCTACAGAGCCCTGATGAATACAGATGTCTTACTGGCATCTCAATTTTAACACATGCAAAACTGAGCACCTCCAATAATAATGGCAACTCCCTTCCTCTGGCTGTTTAGGCCAAAAACCTGGTATCATACCTGTACATAGTTTTATTTCCCACAGACGCAAGACCTATATGCAAGTCCCTCAAAATAGATCCAGAGCCCAACCATGTTTCACCACCTCTACTGCTTCCCTCTACTGCTTCTCTCCTCCCCCCCCCCCCC